GAATCGGTGACCCTGTGCTCGGTTGGATCGGCAACTTCCTCGCACAGTGTCAGCTGAATGTGAGAGTCCGCAGCTCCATTTCCGACCCAATTGAGGTCCAATGTGGCGTGCTTCGAGGATCGGTACTGGGGCTACGTTTATCCCTCACATTTATTAACGATCTTGCCAGTGTAGTACAGTCGAATTTCTTTCTATTTGCAGATGATGTCAACGTAGACATGATATCAGGACATCGGATGATCACATGATATTGCAGAGCGATCTCGACAGGGCTCATGCGTGGTCATCCGATAACCGGCTCCAGTTCAACTTGGCGAAGTGCAAAGTCGTAAGCATACCCCATCAGCTTATCTATGAATATCAAATTGGGGACCAGCAGTTACAACATGCATTTCAAGAAAACGACCTCGAGGTGATCGTGAAGTACGATCTTGGCTGCTCAAGACAGGCTGAAAAGACATCGGGAAGAGCCAGTCAACATATTAGACTCTTACGGAGAGGTTTCGACAATTTTGAGACATCAATCTTTCCGCAAACTCTGAACGCCTACGTGAGGCCCCGCGTAGAATATGCTTGCGTCGCTGGCCCAAGCACGATATCAATGCACTTGAAGCTCCAAAAGGTAGAGCGAACAAACTCGTTAGAGGATTGTTTCATCTCTCCTACCAACGTAGACTGCAGTCCCTGAGATTGTACAGTGGTGAATATGGACGTCAGCGAAGAGACCTAATCATGGTTTACTTAATGCTGACGAACCCAACTCACCCATGTCGAAATCTGTTGCAGCAGAGCCAAACTACCAACCTGAGAGGCCATCAGATCGAACTGGCTACGCACTACAGTCGACCTGATTGTCGACTCAACATTTTCTCCCTCCGTGTATCCCGTGCCTGCAATAGCCTTCCGACTCACGTCATCCTTGCTCCTACATTAACGCTATTCAAAAGACGCCCTGATGAAACGCTTTCGACTTCCATTACTTGATATAGTCCGTTTCAGTTGGAGGACGAAATAACGCAAACCTAACCATGTGTTTAACGGCCCTCTCCGCAACGTGGCGATGAAGATACATGTAGAAGTGTCCATGTGATTAGCCTGGATGTAGCTACACTGGATTAACATACCACATCTGTCAAATGAAGCAACACACGAGTGAGCGTTGTCGTATCCTTTTATCTTTCTCATGCATTTACTGAACCAAAACAGCTCTCTCTACTATTTTGTGTGCGCGCATCCCATTCCCACTTCAAACTATCGTTATGCAGAAATACATTTAAATCGGTAGACGCTTAAAATAACGATTTACTTATTCGATGATTTACTAAATTTTAAGTTTTACTCCAACCATCCTATGGGGCTTGTCAAGCACGTGCTTTTTCCCCTTGATAAATCATTGGGCATTGTTCATTGGGTAGTATTCATCAACAATTTCAATCAAATGGTTACAGATGCCTCAGAGACTAGGGTTTTCAATGGGCCTAAAACCGTTTCTTCTGTAAGAAGCATGCTAGCAAATGGATGACTTTACGCAACGCAGCCTGGCGAGACTACAGATCATCATCAACACCAGATAATTGGGACAACTACGTAGCCCATCGTAACTAATACACTCAACTGCTCAGAGATGACAATGTCGCATATCAGCAAAATATGGCGAAAATTCTTAGCGCTGACCACAGATCGCTGCACAAATATGTCACTGGCCGTCGTAACGTGAGTCAGGGAATTACTCCGCTGCGGACGGACGATGGTCCAAATAGAACAGCCATAGAAGCAGCAAGCTCGTTGCGGACGCAATAAGCTCGCACACTTCAGAGGGTCCTACCATCAATCTATCTGCCAATTTTGTTTTCCCTCCTCCAGTTCTCACCCGCATCTATTTTGTTGTCGAACCTGTGTTGCAGAAGCTGACGTTTTTGCGCAACCACAGCTCACCGGGAGTCGACACTAATCGTCCAATGGCACTGGGAGCAGCAGCAAGACAACTGGCAAAACCTTTGACCCAGTTCTTTCAGCGCAGCGTAGACCAGAATTAGATTCCTGCGATGTGAAGCTTGGAATAGTAACTCCGATCCACAAAGTCGTAAGCAGGGCTGAGTCCTCAAAGTACTGCCCAGTGTCTCTTCTCCCTGTATCGCCTAAGGCCACGGAGTCCATCGTTGCCGATGCTTTGTTGTATTATCCAAGAAATTGTAACATTATTGCTCCCGAGCAACATGGCTTGCGTCGAAGGCGATAATGCACGACGAAGTAGTTAGACCGATGCAGCTGACGCTGGAGAGGCCATTGATGTGGTCTACTTGAATTTGTCGAAGGCATTCAATCGTGTGGAGCACCAGGTTTTCTTTTCCGGGCTCCACTATTACGGGATCAGTGACCTTCTCTTGTGTTGGATCGCAAACTCTCTCCTACAACGGCAATTAGTGATCAGAGTCCGGATTTCCTTATCTGACTCCATGCCAGTCTAGTCTGGTGTGCCCCAGCGCTCAGTCCTAGGTTCACGATTGTTTTTGACATTCATCAATGAACTTGGTAAAAAAAGCTCTTCAAATTTCCTACTGTTTGCTAACAACATCAATATATGTCATGGGATGTAAGTGGATGCCTATTTGAATTTTCTGCTTTGTGACCTAGATATGGTACATCAATTGTCAATCCGAAATCTGCTGCAGTTCAACATGTGCAAATGCAGGTTACTCTCCACACGACGCAAGGGTACCTATTCATACAGGCTACGAACCCAGGTACTACAGTGATCATCCATCGAACGCGACCTTGGTGTGCTTGTTCAGGATAACTCGGGTTGTTCTAATCAATCCGTAAACGCATTGAAAACTGAGAGCCAACACGTCGGCTTATTACGACGGGTGTTCTGCCCAATAGATGCATCTATCTTCAGACGGATACAAGATGTCCACCCCATGTCGATTACAAAATTCAAGCCTGGCAGTCATGGCTGAAGCACCGCCTTACGCATTGGACTAACCTCGGCGTCAGGCTTTTAAAATGCGTCGTTGAATTGCACCATCTTCCATTTCAGCAGACACTGGAACGTATGCGCCTCTTCAGCGGGTGGTATCACCGACTACGGGGTGACTTGATAATGGCATACTTGATTATACACAATCCAAATCATGTGTGCCGCTCTTTACTGCAACTCAGCGTTAACATCAAGCTCAGAGGAACAGTATTGCCATCTTCGGTGCTCTCAACTCACAGAACTCTATCCCAGCAGCCCAGTACAACACAAAAGTCATAAGGCTCACTCTACTCTGGCTGTAAGTACGGAACTCGGTTGATGTAACTGGAGCGTGATGCCTTTCTCTGACTACAAATGTGCTATAAAGCAGTACCAGAGTATTGCGCGATTGCTTGCTGCGTTTGGTGATGATGCGCCTGCAAAAACCACCGTGTTTAAGTGACCTAAGGAATTGAAGCGTGCCAGGCGGTCCTTGGATGAGGAAACATGGTGTGGTCGACCTGCGGAAGCCATCACCGCGGACAACATTTCTTTTGTAACCCACCTTAGAATCGATGCCCAGTCATCCATTCGGATTGCTGCAAGCTTGCAATCGGTTTTCGGTCAGGATTTCTTGCATATCTAACTGTGTGAAACTTGTGACTCCAGCTAGACAATTACTTGGAGTGATTGTGCTTTCTATCGTGGGTTGGATTTGGAACAGTAAAGCCAATTCACTGGCGAACTGAAACGACAAGTATCTGCTGAAACACGTTGCTCAAATTCGGACCGGTAAGACACAACCACACTGCCATGAAGGAAACTGACTGGATAAAATGGCGAAAAAACTAGTCATACTATTTAACGGTCTAACCATTTGAAGGCTATATCAATTTGGGATAAAGGCAAATGGATCTGCATTGCAAGTTGCACCTCAGTCAAAAGTATCTGATGAATTTTACTTGCGCACTTTAAATGCCGCATGATGAAAACTTGTACACCCACTCAGGTAACCATTTGTTGCTCGATCATGACAACAACTTGTTCTATCACTGGAATCGATCAACCTATTCATTATTAAAGACTCCTATTTTGGAAGACAATTATCTATCATTAATATCTGTATGGTTCATGGGGAAGCCCGATTCAACCAACTGTTTCATATTTCACCGTGTACGCATAGAAGTCATATATCTGGTAAGTAGCAGCTTTTAAGAGCAAAGCGTATTAGCTGGCCTGTTTTATTTCATGAAAGCACTTTTTGTTGCACTTGACACGGAGATAGCCTAGTGCACAGGTATGAGCTAATGGCATCACACCTTGTCTAATGACCCGATCAGCAGTCGATGTCCACTAAACATCTTTGTGTAGTCAAAGAAAGACGAAATGTGCTTTTCATTTATGAAAACAGCTGGTTTCCTTCCGTTTCCATTAGTTAACTATCAGTGTTACCGTCAAGCTTAATGAAAAATCGAGTGCGCAACGTTTCCTCTCTAAACCGAGCCCATATTTGGAGGTTCGAATGCAGTTCAGTGACGTGTCACTGAGGCAATAATGGTAAGCCACAGGTCGGGTTTCAGTGCCCCTCTTAGTGGTGACTTCTGCCCGACTGTCAAATAAAGTGAGACAAAGACAAAGGAAACAGCCAGTTGTGTGGACTTATGCTATCTGAGTGCAATGTTTCAAGCTCGAACTAACGCTGTAGGTTTACTTGTATCGCCAACCCTGCCAGGGGACCGAAATGGAGCACAGTCACCTTAATATATTACAAATTACACACTTTAAGTTCCTCTCACGATCATCATAACTGGTACATTGACCAGAGACAAAGAACGGGTGTAAACTTATTCACGGCATACCCACTTACTCAGTTGCTGTGGTCAAATTTCTCATAAATTATGCATGCTCTTACGCTGAAACATTCTTTGCGCTGTAACCTCTAGGACTAGACCCGGCTTGAGTTGAATACGTTTCAGCTACCCTCTGCGCAACGTAAGTGTACTGTACACATCAAGTCCGTGACTTCTGCCTCCATTTGCAGGTCGTGACCGATACTGTGCGCCTGACGAAAGGAAATAGGACTAAATTGTCAATTCGTCCTCCGAGAGAGTTCAATGCATCACTGAGCTATTTCATCGATTTTGGTGATATGGTTGGACTCAAGGAACGCATATCCGATGTTACACAACCAATCGCAGTACAATACACAAAGGTCGGACCTACGTTGATCACTGTGTACGCAAACGATGCTCACGGTTCAGTGGTAAGTTCATTTGAACTAGATGTAAGGTGACTTCACCAGTAACCAATGAGGATACGTATGTGGAAATATACCGTGGCTGTTAAACCCTTATGCGTCGTCTTTGCAGTGGAGCATTGAAATGCCACTCCTGGCCCTAGTTAAATCATGTACCTTCAGAAAAGTTGGAGGTATAATCGCAAGTAAAGGCTGTATGGGAAATATTTACGTTTGCAGAAGCCGCAGAGACTGTAGCGAGATGAAGTATATTGAAATTATGTATCTGAATTTTACTCGGTAAGCGGCAAGACTCCCTAATGGTGTCATATAGTGAGAACATAGCTTTTCATAGCGAATCAGTCTAGAACCGAGCCGTTCAAATGATCAGGGCTGGACGAGTCACCTGAATCTCCCTTTCAAGGCATATGGATACAAAACGTTCATAACGAAGTTATATGTGGAATGAGTGATCGAATTAACTATAAGGAAGCTGTCAGTGGCAGTTAGGGAGGAATGTTTCGAGTAATCAGAATATGGATGGTGCCCAATTCGCCACGGCAACCAAATCGTTCATCTTTGGTCCATGCACATAAGCAGTTGTCTTGGTGCTTCCTTACAGCACTCGTCAAGTTCAGGCCCCAAGCTAAGCGTGATGCTAGCGACCTACATATTCTAGTGCAGTTTCATTTGACACCTCCCCCCGCCTTGTTACACAACGAACGGATAGGCGCAACAACTAAACATGAAATGGGATAAGTCGTCGTTGTTCGATCACACCACCCATAATATAACGTAAATCGTGTAAGAGCAATAACGCCACTTGCATCATACACGGACGGCCAAAACTATAATATGGACCCCCCGGATACAACTTCAGACTCAGCCTAAAGAGAAATCTGCCATACATGTGATATAGTACGGTTTGTTCGGCCTTAGTGAGTGCAATACTGATTAGCTCGACCCAATTCACTCTAATTTTAACTTTTTGGGTTTGCATTATCCAGAGAGCATCAGGTGGTTTGGCGTTGGATATAATCGATTCATTGTCGGATGTGGACGTTGATTTGGACTGTCCGAAATTTGTCGTCCGTGATGCCGTTGTTGAATGTAAAGTGTCGGTGCGTCACGGAAATCACCTCGTCGGTAACGTTGCATTTGGAACAGGGATGAGCGAGCAATTCACCGTACCCGGTACGTTCTATGTTCGCCACACATATTCTGAATGAGCAAGCTTCCAACAACCCAATGCCACGAGTATGATACACGACTGGGTAATCCTGGTAACTAAAAATATAATTTATCCTCTTTCCTCGCGTCTTTGCATTCACTACCGATTTAAATATACAAAGGAAGTTTATACATGAATAGTTCCTAAAACGAATAAGCGGCGTCTTTAGCTTTCAACAGTTTGAACATGGCCTCACACTGCTTAAGCAGAAATGCCACAGATGGGACCCTGATAATTCCAAGCCACTTCTCGAAACGAGTTTTCAAGTAATCTCCCCTTTTTCACAAACCAGTTAAAAGGTGTACAGTGAATTGTAGACAACCAGTCCACCACGGTATAGGTAAGGATGTACGACATATTAAAACACAGAACAACCAGCCAGTACGCTTTATTCTTGAACCTTACCCAACTGTTCCGCATCACTGTTGCTAACAAGCGAATTTGCTCCTACGTCACAATTGATTTTTGTAGGAGAACTTGGATAGTGTAAAGAACAGGTTGATGGATATTCGGCCGAGATTATTGTGACCCATTAGTTACGACAGATTTACCGAAGGGAACCTCAATCATTCATTTGCACTAGACCGAACATTTGGCGATTCACTCAAATGGACTTAGGCACATTCTTACCTTCATCTCAGAGTAAAACATACCGGAACAATGAAACAATGGATTTATGAGGTGCAATAGCTAAATTATAATAGAATCTGTACGAAGATCGTGGTGGAAATTCAAAGTATAAATTGTCAGCAAAATTAAGTTCATAGCGGTGGACTCACGGTTATATATATATATATATATATATATATATATATATATATATATATATATATATATATATATATATGGTTGGCGACATCCGGTTTCGGATTTGCCTGTCACTGTGGCAAGCCACAGGACGCCTGCGCCTACAGAGGGACCATAAGTCACCTGCGCTGCACCAGCCACAGCTCCAACCACACACCCCATATCCAGTGTAAACCCGAAGGAATAAGACCGGGAGGCATGTGGATGGGAGTCAGGTTTCATCAACGGAGCCGGCCCACACTCCTTCACAGCAAACACAAGCACACTGTATTTGGGGAATCAAGTGCACACAAGGCGGTGGCTGGACCGTAGTCCGCTCCACACTGAATGTATGGAACCACGCTTCGAGCTCAAAACGGCTACTAGGACCGTGCACCCCGTCCCCTCCAGCAATGACCAACTGTCTCCTGGAGGTAGTATGGACAAGGTAGTGGGTAATAAACAGGTAGGCACCTTGTCAACAGGCACATCAGGCGCAGCCACACCGGGGATATCAAACAACAGCCAATCACTTGAGACAGAGAGAGAGAGAGACAAAGAAAATAACTCGATTAAAGCATAAGGAAACGGTAACGTAAACATTAAGTTAATGAGCATATGAAATAGGTTGTTTACAAAAGAATCCTAGATAAGTTCACGATGTCAGAAAGTATACTTTACGGAATGCCACGAACACAAAAATGCTACGGAAATCGAATACAATTGACCTAAGCGAGATGTGAAAGTTAATGGAATAGAGTACAGGTAGACATGTATATGAGAGAAAAGCATTAAGGCAAAATTGAAAACCCACCACCTGAAATAAAGAGACTTAGCATGCAAGCATGCGGTTAGTAAATCGAATGCAGTGTGCCTACAAACGCTGCGCCGGTTCTGCCTACGTTCTCTGCAGGACCCGTCGTCGCTTCGGTAGTGGTCCCGAGTGGCCTCGCTCATGGCTCACTAGACATTTATTTGAGAAAGAAAGGCATTAGGACAAAACTGAAAACCCACCACCTGAAAAAGACTTAGCATGCAAGCACGCGGTTAGTAAATCGAATGCAGCGTACCTACAAACGCTGCGCCGGTTCTGCCTACGTTCTCTGCAGAACCCATCGTCGCTTCGGTAGTAGTCCCGAATGGCCTAGCTCATGGCTCACTAAGCCTGCCTGACTAAGGCACTCGCGACTGCATGTTCTATAGCATCATTTCTTGATGTCGATGGAGAACAACCCATCGGTGCTTGCCGTTTCCGCACTTACCGCTTCTTCTCTTCATGCAAGAGGGCTTTCTCTTGCACTACGGCAACTGCCTTCGTGATCAGATCGCGCCATGCACGCCGATCAATCGCCTACAATTCCCATGATCTGCAATCAAGATATATATATATATATATATATATATATATATATATATATATGTCTCATGCTGAGGCTGATGTTGCATTCATGATGATTCTTCACTGCAGTTGGGCTAAACCAACTTACACTTAAACTAGGTCTTTTTAATGTCGATATAATTCATTACATTTTATTTGGTTTGGGTTGCGTACTTGATAATCTTCTCCCAACTTGCACACGTCGCTCATGCAAATTGTGGTAAACTTGCGTAATTTTATGCCGTGGTATTTTTTAAATAACTTTCGGACATTTTGTACTTATCACGGATTCACTTATAACCAATTACTTCTATATGCTCATTTAGCGGGTATGTATGTCGTCATATGCGCTTATTTTATTCGATATGAGCATTTTGAACGGTTGACTGTTGTTTGGCATTCCAGGTGTGGCTGCGCTTGATGTGCATGTTGACAAGGTGCCCACCTGTCTATTACTCACTACCTCGTCCATACTAGCTCCATGAGACAACTGGTCGTTGCTGGAGAGGACGGGGTGCACGGTCCTTGTGGCCGTGCTAGGCTCGAAGAGTGGTTCCATACATTCAGTGTGGAGCGGACTACGGTCCAGCCATCGCCTTGTGTGCGATTGATTCCCCAAATACAGCGTGCTTGTGTTTGCTGTGAAGGAGTGTGAGCTGGCTCCGTTGATGAAACGTGGCTCCCATCCGCATGCCTCCCGGTCTTATTCCTTCGGGTTTACACTGGATATGGGGTGTGTGGTTGGAGCTGTGGCTGGTGCAGCGCAAGCGACTTATGGTCCCTCTGTAAGCGCAGGCGTCCTGTGGCTTGCCATAGTGACAGGCAAATCCGAAACCGGATGCCGCTAACGAAATATATATATGTATATATATATATATATATATATATATACTATAGTTCAAATCCACTTTCTGTCCATAGGGAATTTTCCTACAACTGTGCGTTTTGAGGAAACCCTGTCGACTCTTGGGGAACACATACAATTATTGGTAAAGGTGGAACGTATTCTGGGAGCCAACCTGCAAGAAAATCTCGAACGGGCACATGTGTTTAACCATGGGCTCCTGGGAGATGCTGCAGCGAAATGAGTGCACGGTAAACTCAGGTTTTGTACTCCACCAGCCTGGAAGCACAGACAACAAATTCCAGTAGGAGGTTCCACGATTAACAAACGCGTACGAAAAAGTAATTCCGACGGTATTCCAAACGATTGTAAGGCACTGCCAGCTTGAGATGGCGGCCTATCTGGTTACCGTTATGACTGAGTTTTGGCCAATGGGATGTGTGTGGTTTACATCTCTAAAAATTTACTTTCCAAATCCTTTGTCCACTCAATCGCTGGCCTTGTCTGCTGAAGACCCAGGGCACTAGTAGCGATCGGTCACATGTAAGTGGTACAGACCTTTAACATTCTTTATTTCCTGGCTTTGGATTATCTCAACAGTGATGACATTTATCCTCAGCCATGGCCGCAAAACATATATTGCTAATTCCACCTGTAGACCTGTGTATGAACGGAGACGCTGTTGAAGAGTCGAATCGTCTGAACCCACGCCGCAGGAGACTCACGTGTTGGATGCCCCTTCTTAACGCCGTTTCAGGCTGATTCTAACATCCAAGTTCGGCCTGAACAAAAGCGCCCAGGCTGTACACAAGAAAGAGGTTGACTTGCATTCAGTCTAGTAGATTGCATTCTGTATGATTGCTGAGGGCGATACGGGTAGCATAATAACCTTGAGCTATTTACTTCGTATCGACAGAGGCGTTTAGATTGTTATCGTTGTCAGCAGATTCGTCACGAAGCGGTTATCTTGTATATGTGTTTCGGAGACAGCACACACCACTATCGAAGGAGTGTATAGTGAGAGTTAGTGCTGCTGTTGGCCGCTCTGAAAAGTGCCTGTACGTCAAATGAACCATTGAAAAATAGGAATCTCGGTTCGATAGCTTTAGTTACGAGGTCAGTGACAGTCCCTTGCGCAATAAACTGGGGAGAAGAGAGTGGTACAGATAGAGGAGAAGAAGTGTTGGCGACTGGGTCGAGAGGGCAGATTCTACTCTCCTGCTGCCCATTCCGGAAGAGGGTTGTTGGTTGAGGTGCTCTGCAATCAGCCGTTCACTCAACAGTCTGACGAACAACGCGGTCACGTATATGGAGGTTCACTTGAGTGATTCCATCCAGACCATTTGGCCAACAGCTTGACCCACAATGTAGTGGGGAGGTAGTCCAACTGGAGAGCGTGATGGCAGTGTCTCATTGGGATCTGCTTGAGGCCTGTCAGATGCAGCCTTTGAGAATCTAGGGCAAATCATGTGTGACCACGGGCAATTGCATGTGGGGATTGGCGGGTTGACACCTATTTCACCAGAAGTTGCCTGGATCGGAGCGGGCGGTAGCAAACTATTAAGCACCGCGTGGCGCACTCCCACGATCAGAGACAATGCGTGGCACTCACGCTCTACGCCAATGCAGCTGTGAGATACTCTAACACCTGTTGTATACCGTGGCTGTTCTAAGGAAAAAGGATCATGAACCTCTACCAATCCTTGAAGAGGATTTCGAGACTGAGTTAATCCGAGCTCTAACCATTGACACCTTTGGTATGAGCAGTCCTGATGGCACCTAGAAGTTGTCACCGAGCGAAGCTCAATAGGTCACGAAGATAGGCAAACTATTGCATCAAAATAAAGTCCAGTGCAGTCGCGTCGCCATGGGCTTCGTTTCTCCACCATGTTGCTGTTGTACCAGTTTGAGCCTTGCCTACGCTTACGAGATCAGTTTCCACTTTTCTGACATAC